CCCACCATCTAAACATGTATGTTAGTTTAGTTTCTCCAGTCAATGCCCTTGACCAAGGGAGTTGGTTCCTGGTCCGAATTAGGAGGCAGAGCTTGAACTGCAGTGCCAGAAACTGCATTTCATTGGATGACCACTTGAGGCTGCCACCAAAAGCGAGTCATTCCCCATAATAATAATAATAATAATTTTTTTATTTATAGGGGCCTTTCTGAACACTCAAGGTCACCTCACAAAACATAATAAAAGATTGCTGTGACCTGATAAATAGTGATCATTAAAAAGATTTGTTTTCAAGCGGGATTTAAAAATGGAAAGCCAGTCAATGTTGCCGATGTCTGGTGGAAGAGAGTTACAGAGACGAGGGGCAGAGCGGCTGAAGGCTCTGAACCCCATGGTGGTCAGACGAGCAGGAGGTACAGTGAGGTGAATAGAAGAAGACCTAAGAGTATGGGTGGGTGTGTTAATATAAAGGAGGTCAGTGAGGTACAGAGGAGCAAGGTTGTGAATGGCCTTGAAGGTCAGGAGCAGATTCTTAAAATCAATGTGGTATTTAACGGGGAGCCAATAAAGCTGCTGAAGGAAAAGAGTAATGTGATTAATAGAAGGGGTTCTGGTGATGATACGGGCAGCAGAGTTCTGAACCAGTTGAAGTTTATGTGTGGATTTGAGAGGAAGACCAATGAGAAGAGAATTACAATAATCAATGCGGGATGTGACCAGTGTGTGAACAAGAATGGTTGTACTGGTGGGTGAGAGAGACGGTCTGAGGTGATTAATGTTATGTAAATGGAAGTATGCGGACCTACTGACATTATTAATGTCAGCTTGAAATGATAGAGTGCTGTAGAGGATCACACCCAGACTCTTGACCTGAGGGGAGGGGGACACTGGGGAGTTGTCAATGGTAAGAGAAAAACTGACCGATTTAGTTAAAGGAGACCTATTATGCTTTTCCACATTTTATGACTTATCTACAGTGTTATAATGTTGGATGTTCATGTTAAATATGGCCAAAGCTTAAAAAATGAGGTTAAAGTATTTATAAGAAATCCCTCTGAGCAAAAACCTCAGGTTTCCTCCTGTTCTGAACGTTCTGTTTTCAACTGCTTTTTCTACCAACGGCTGCCAGAGGAGCTGGTGTTCCATTTATGGTCATTTGCTTCCACAGCAACGGCAGCGCTCATTCTGCCTGTTCCGCCCAGGTCTTCAGGTCTTGGCCAATCAGAAGACACTGTGCTTTGAGAGGGGGAGCCTTAAAGAGACAGGAACATCTACAGTTTGTTTCAGACAGAGGCTGAAGTGAAGCCCTACATGAAGAACTTTGAACTTTTAATCGTGCAAAGCTGCCATACAGGAGTCACAATACTACAATGTAGGACTGTAAAAGCAGTATAATAGGTCTCCTTCAAAGTGGATTTGGTACCAATGAGGAGAAACTCGATTTTTCACTGTTAAGTTTGAGGAAGTTGCAAGAGAACCAGGATTTGATTTCCGTTAGGCAATCAGAGAGGGATGTGTGTGGGAGAGATGTGGTAGGTTTGGTGGACAGGTAGAGCTGGGTGTCATCTGCATAGCAGTGAAAATGGATGTTAAATTTACGGAAGATATGGCCAAGAGGAAGCAGATAGATGATGAACAGACAGAACACCGGGAACACCAGGACAGAGCCCTGGGGAAACCAGTAGTGAGAGGGATAGCTCTGATTTGAAATGTTTGAGTTGGATGAACCGTAGACCCCCATGTTAAAATTCCCACGTCTGCGGTTAAATTGGGATGTTTTCGCCAGTCACACCTGTGGTGCACCATCGGGTAAAGTTTCAGCTTCATACACATCACTGCTAAACCTTAGACTCAGCACTTATTTGTATCTCGTGTCCATCCACATGCACACCATGCCAAGAACTAGGCGATACACATATTTGCACTTTTTTTGTTTCAGGACTGCTGACAGGAGTGGTGGTCGACTCCGGTGACGGCGTCACTCACATCTGCCCGGTGTACGAGGGCTTCTCTCTGCCCCACCTGACCCGACGTCTCGACATCGCAGGGAGGGACATAACGCGCTACCTCATCAAGGTACCTGCAGCACCAAAACAGTTTTTATCAATGGAGACTGGTGACGATTGTTCTCGATTGTGCGATTGTGACTGTTTCTGGTTAAACAAAGAGGATCAACGAGGAAGAAGGTCTCTCTCTGTAGGGATCTTTTTCATAATGTCGTCAGATATTTGTAATAACAATCAGAACACATAAGTGTACATGATGGAGCACAATACTGGATCAATTTCAAAAAAATGTTGTCCCAATTAGACACACAGACACAAAAACATGAGAAAATAAGGGCCAGGTTGAAAAATACTGAAGTTTCATATTAATATTAAATATTTCTTTAAATCTTGCACTGTACGTTGAATTCTTTTTAAATTCAGTGTTGAGAAGATGATGAAATTAAAAAGGTTCCAGTGTGTTTCGTCAACTTCAATTTAAATTGACGAAACATTCAGGTTCTGTACTGTGTGAATAAATTATATTGATCTTAATTCTAATTAATTTAATTATGAATTAACATAATGTACCAAACCTTTTGTCTTTTGTCCGACATGAAACCTGTTCCTGTTGTCCAATCAGCGTTCAGTATTTTGGCCACCCCTGTTTCTCCAAAAGAAACCTAGATTTTAAAGTAATTAGCATTTTCAGTCTTGTTGTCTTTTTTGGCTCATGTTCATATTTCATTAGTGATCTTATTTTAAAGTTGTTTAGAAACCAGAAATGTTCGGCACACTATGCAGCTGGGTATTTTACATAATTTTTTTATTAATTAATATATTTGTGTTACATAATAATGGTAATTACATAATTTAAATGTTTGCACAAATAAATCACTGCACAAGCTGCCATATTGCACATATTCTGTAGTATTCTTTTATATTTTATAAATACAAATCCTCTCCCCCTGTAATATGTTTGCACAACACAAATCCGAAGTAATGCACATGTAAATAACTGCCACATTGTTTTTCTTTTACACATACTACGCATGTAGTTCTAATATTCTTTTGTAACTTTCACTTTTGTATATATATTTTGATTTATTTATGTCAACTGTAGGTTTATGTCTCTGTCTAGCACCTAATCAATGTAGCAAATTCTTCGGACATGTAAAGTACTGTAAAGCTCTTTCTGATTCTAATTTTGATTCTGATAACTATCAAATCCTCCCTGTACCGTCTGACTTCCAGCTGCTGCTGCTGCGGGGTTATGCCTTCAACCATTCGGCGGACTTTGAGACAGTGAGGATGATGAAGGAGAAGCTTTGCTACGTCGGTTATAACATCGAGCAGGAGCAGAAGCTTTCGCTGGAGACAACGGTGCTGGTCGAGTCATACACGGTCAGTCGTGCCCATGTTAATAAATCATTCGTACAGCAGTTAAAGAGCTCAGTATTTAATAATATTGAGACGTCATTACTTTTCTGAAGGCGTGGATTTTGTGTGTGTCCTCAGCTCCCGGACGGAAGGGTGATCAAGGTGGGAGGTGAGAGGTTCGAAGCCCCTGAGGCTCTGTTTCAACCTCACCTCATCAACGTGGAGGGTGTGGGTGTGGCCGAGCTGCTCTTTAATACCATCCAGGCCGCAGATATCGACACCAGGTGAGCTGTCAGGGGCCGCACGTCAGATTTCTCAAGGCAGCTGGCATAAACCAACAATTTAAGTTTTATTACAAAATATACACGAAAGGATATTCTTACATAAAATATCCAAGTTCCAAAAGGTTTTAAAACTAAATCCCTCTGTGGATACACAGGATAACACATTTACTCACACGTTGTCAAGATTAGTATTCTCACAGGTGGAGAGATGTAAAATAACACCACACAACGTTGTGTTTCTCTGATCAGGTCTGAGTTCTATAAGCACATTGTCCTGTCCGGAGGCTCCACCATGTATCCCGGCCTGCCGTCCCGCCTGGAGCGTGAGCTGAAGCAGCTGTACCTGGAGCGAGTGCTGAAGGGAGACGTGGACAAGCTTTCAGTGAGTACAGGGATCTGAAAAACAAAACACAAAACACTTGAAGCCTATGGGAAGAGATATACTTTTTTTTTTAACTTTGTTTATCGGGTTTTGCCTTGTTATCAGAGCATTTATTAAAAAAAAAAAAGAAATCAATATATATTCCTTTTTATACAAAACATAACGATATCATTGTAAATATTGCTAAACACAAGAACAACTTATGGAAGAATAAAAGCTGATTTGAAGTTGAACAGCAGTTACTTTTGGTGAAACTTACTAAAAGACAGAAACGAGAGAAGGCGTCGGAGGAGATGGTGTGTACGACCCTTGAGCTGGTTGAGGCAGAAAAAGAAGGACAAGCCGCAAATGTGATGCTGCCAAGCTGGCCAATAGTTGTTGCGGTCTGCGTAGCCTTGACATGTAGTTAAATGTTTGCGCTGCAGCCTGCAGTGGAGATTCGACACAGAAGGATAAATTGGCCTCT